TCTCGTTGTACTGCAGCCGTTTGGCTTTTATACAATATTCATATTGACGCAGTCCACGAGACTTCCTCCCGAAACGAGGGAGGAAGTTTCCCCTAACAAAGAATAAGTGATATGTAGAAAAACTGGTTTTTATAGAATCTCTCAATAAATTCTTGGTGGAGTACCTTTCATTTCGTCTGAAGAGGCGAGCTGAAGGGCTTCGCAAGTTGGTCTCACCGTAAGATGTAGGGTAATCGTCTTGGAGTTGTGGTTACGTATTTGTGTGAATAGGTCCTCTGTGCACCGTCCTGCAACCCCGATGAATCCTTGCTGAGCTTTCGTCTGTCAGGTCATGGACATTGTCAGAGCAGGACACTATGCTTTACGATAATTCATCAAAGCACGAAGGCAAGAAAGGTGGTCGGCTTCAATCCTACCAACTTCTTATAGTCCGAGTTCCTATTCACACAAATCTACAATCACAGATCCAAGGTAATCCCCTTATATATTCGCTTACACTCGCCTCTTCAAACGAAGTGAAATGCTCTCCAACATGGAAGAATAAGTGATTCAAAAACAACTAGCTTCGGAAGACGATGGAGGTATTTATCCTGTCTTGACGTGAATATCCTTAAAGTATAAGTCAAATTTAAACAAAGAAAATATAATGACGCAATCAGCAACCTCGGTTAATCTGTGTCCAGGTTTCGATAGTTTTATCCTAAAGAAAGACAATTCTAAATATTATTTCGCAAAGTACTATGTCTAAAAGAACGACAAATATGCTCACATTTAAGGAGAATAACCTGCTTTAATGATGTTTATAGTAAAGCCTTGTTAATCCGACTTTTGTTTATGAAGAAAGGCTGAATTTCGAAGAATCAGTTATTCAAAATGTAATGAATGCTACATTTATATGAGGTATCTTTATCCTATTTCGTCTAAGCCGACAAGGGGAATGGTAGCTTAATTTTCCCATAATGATATAAATAGATGTTACGTTTCCATTTAATTTCAAGTAGCCTTGTCTTCCCAAAAGATCTTCCCATCCAGGATGGACTGCAGTCTACTGGTACTCTCGAAAATCTACTTACAAACGAAAAATAAGTAATGTAGTCAATTGCTATAGCAAATAAAAATATGTCTCATCGACAATCCTACTACTGAATGCATTATAAGAAAGTGCCTGACTTTTCTTGAAATGCACATCTGCCTTGTGACCCAAGGGCCCTCATGGTAATATGGCATAATGACTAACGTGTAGAAATTACATATTGCAGGTACTTATTTGACATAGACGAATTCGATACTTCAGTCCAATCTGGATGGGAATACATTTTGGGAAGCGATGCTATGTGAAATTTAATGTAAAAGTAATGTCTAGTAATGTCATTTTGGGAAAATGCAATGACCAATTCGCCTAGCGTCTTAAACAAAATAGAATGAATACACTTCATATAATTGATCTATGTGTAGTCTCAGCAATGAAAAATAGAATGATATGAAGACCAAGATGGTGTGGTCCCCGGTATGGTCGTAGTCTCCTTTCTATTTATTGAAGTGGGTTGACTTCGTTTTCGCAACTTGGTCTTGTTGTCAAGGCGACTTAGTAGGGCGTAGCTTGTCCGAAGTCCCCTGCCATAGTAGGTATCATAATTCCCAGCATCGGAGAATGTACTAAGTCCACGGTGCGTTCTATTAGTCGCCCTGACAACAAGATGAAGTTGCAAAAACTAGGTCAACCCACTTGGAAAAATGGAATGTTGCACGTCAATTCGAGGGGCATTTCCATAGGCCGTTAAGGTTATGCTTGCAAGATATACAGTGGACAACATTGTCAATATGCCAATTACTTGCTCTATAAAATGCAGTAGTGCTCCGTTATTTCACTCGATTATGAACGAAGCAACTCCTATTGTTGCCCAGGCAATGAGTTTTTCAGGCACTAGTAAATCCGAGTGATTGACATTAGTATTTTCCTTTGCCCTAACCTTCGTGTGGCTCAGAAAATATCCCAGGCTTCCAGCCACCCAATTTTTTCTGAATCCACCTTGAATATGGAATTAAGAGCCTACACGTTTTCATATTGAATTCAAAAAAAGCTGGTCTTCGAAGAATCCCTTTTGTACTATTCAGTTAATTTGATGAGGCGAGTGGAAAGGATTGGTAAATTGGCCTCACCACAAGTCGAGGGAAGATTGCCTTGGATTTTTGACTGTAGTTCGTGCGAATGGGCGACAGCACACCGTATAGCGACCATAATGTATCAGTGTTGAGTTTAGAATGTCCTCTGAAATACATTATCAGAGCAGGAAAACTTGCTTAACGATAACCCACCAAGCATGAAGGCAAGAAAGTTGGCTAGCATGCAGGAAAAGCATAAAATAGCCAACCCACTAATAAAATATCTCATCGAGTGGAGAAAATTAGGCTATAAAAACTAGTATATGCGAAAAAAGTTGTGTTTCGAGGAATCTATTGTTTCATAATCGTTGAGCTTACTTCAATTTCGAGTGAAATTGTTGGGTGAAGAGATTCGAAGGTCGGTTCTACCAGAAGACGACGGTGGTTTTTTCTTGACCAGCTGTCGATTGGCGTTACTGGAAGATTCATGCTGACACTGTTTCCGAGGTAATCTCTTTCGATTCCAGTGAAAGGGTGCTAAGCTTTCGTCCGTCATATGACGAACATCATCAGAGCAAGGAGTTTTCTTGACTCGTTAGCTTGAATTTTGTTGTGACGTTAATAACTTGCTCTGATAGTGTTTGTCATATGACGGATGAAAGCTCAGCACCTTTACACTGGAATCGAAATAGATTGCCTCTGAAACAGTGTCAGCATGGATCTTCCAGTAAAGCCAATCGACAGCTGGTCAAGAGGAATCCGCCATCGTCTTCTGGTGGAACCAACTTTCGAATCTCTTCACCCAACACTTTCACTCGAAATGGAAGTAAGCTCA